CGACGTGATAAACTGAACAGGCATCGAGCTCTTCACGACACAGGCGTGTGTGCCTGTTAATGTGTTTTCTGAGAGGAGCAACACATTTTTGTGATGGTTATATAATACTAATAATGTGAAAATTGCATTAATTTTAAAGTTTGACAATTACACCTGCACTCTGCCCCCCAGTCAGCCTCCCAAGTTTAACAATCGGAACTTAAAATGTACATCTTTAAAATATGAACTGCCAAGTGTTTCCTTCCTCCCTCTTGCATGTGCTCCCATCCCACATAATTGTAGTGTTCAGAGACGCAAAAAAAATTCCTTGCGTCTGTGGGGTTTATGAGATTGATGTCTCACAACCCCATAAGGCTTGAAATAGGAAATTTATGACATGGGAAGAAGTGATTTTCAAACTCCCAAAGGTAAGTTTTAGAAATCTTTTGTGTGTGCTGGTCACAATTTACCTCTCTCTGTGATGCTGGAAACCAAGTCATAGAACGAAGGCACCTGACACAAGACATGGATGGGTCAGCTTTTTTTTTTTTTTTTACTTGATATTAACAAAAACCCCTCTCCAATGCTTCCATCCTCAGGGTTTTTTTCCCTGTCAGATGCAGGCTACTGGAAGGAGGGGCATAGAGCAAGGAACTACTTGCTCAGGATAATTTGTCCAACTCGCTCATGGTTTTGTCAGTTGAAGGTTGTGGGTTAGCACCAGACAGTGGCAGTGGGGCAATTTTTAGGATGGGGGGGGGTACAGAGACATCCTCCCTCCCTTATACCTGTTTTGTGCACTTCCTATGGTTGCCAACTCTCCTAGACCGGACCCAATGGGCACTATTTGTGGCAATAGCGACCAGTCCGTATGGTCTGGGAGAGTTGGCAACTCTGACCCCTCACTGCCCCCAGGCTGGAGCCACAGCTGGGGGGCAACTGCTGAGCCCCAGGCCAAGGCCAGTAGCCGAGTCCCAGGCTGGTGACAAGATACCAGGTGGTCATGGAGCTCCCAGAGCTGGTGGCCCGGACTCCTGGGCCAGTGGGCTGCCGAGTCCATGAGGGGCGGGCCTGGTGGGTGATGGGACCCTGAGGGCTGGCAGAGCCCTCAAGGCCAGTGGATGGCCAGTGGGGCTAAGGGGGGACCCCAGAGGCACAGCAGGGCCCTGCGGGGGGCGGCCTGGAGGCTGGGACCCAGGGCTGGCAAAGTTGGTGGCCACAGGTGAGGGGAAGGTGTGTTACAGCACCCCCTGCATTTCAACTTCCCATGCCTCTGCCTTTGGATCATTGCAAAACAGCCAGAGTGCAGCCGTGTATCTGACCAACGTGTTTCCAGCTATTTTTCATAATATTCCTACAGGCGGTAGCCTTGGAAATGTCTGAAGTGATTTCCGTCAACTCAACACAACAAAATATGCACTTAAATCTATGTCAGTCACACTTACCAGTTCGGGTCTCAATCCAGCAAAGGAGTTCAGCACATGCCTAACTCGGAAGTCAGTGAGTGAAGTCCTGGTCTCTGAAAGTCACTGCAAAACTCCCAATGGACGTGTCAGTAGAAACTGTTCAAATTCTTAGAGTTAAGCAGGCACTTAAGTCCTTAGCTAGATTCGGGCCCCTTCAAGCATGTATGTACATGTGCTTGCTAGATGAATACTAACGCCCACATATAATAACATCTATTTAGAAATCACCAGCTACGCTAGTTGAAAACGAATGAAAGAACAAGAGTAGATCCTTAGAGAAAACTATGGTACTCAGACATAGTGCCATGTTTGTATTTGCACAATAGGATTTATGAAATGTATATAGTCTGTATTTTTATAAGGGCAAAAATTTAAAACCTCTCTCGTTTGAAGCTATTTATGTTAGGCTGGTATTTACTCTGTTAAAATTTTTCATTACATTTCCCTTCATTGGATGGATCAAGTTTTATTTTTATGTAACATTTTTGCTCCCTGTAGCAATGTTTTGTAAATAGGCTGGCTTATTTATGACTGTAAACGAGATGCAAAATCCAGTGAATATCTCTCAGTATTAAAAAGAAATAGCTGTAGTTACTGCCTTATACAATACACTTGATAAATTTGAATAATCTAAATTTTTATTGCAGCCATCTTTAAAATAAAGGGCTACAGTTTCTTTTCATTTTTTAATAATGCACAAAAATTCTTCCAACAAACAATTTAATCTGAACTAAAGGGAGAGAGAGAAGGCTGTTTAGATGTACAGACTCAGTGGATTGTTGAAAATGACTGTACTGGAAATACCTTGGCTTGACATTATTATTTTTTTCTTCTTATCAGGATCATTGTGGAGCTTTTATGGAAAGTGAAATGTTCCCTGGTTTCCAACAGAAATATTTATGTGCTTTGAGAAAAATACAACTAAGACCTCAATCGCTTTGATGGAAAAGTCCCCAAACCTAACATGCACACTTCTTAGATACTGGAATTGTGGAACTCCGTCCTTATCTTCATGCCAGGTTCTTTATCAGTTTGCTTGGCTTTCTTTCCCCAGCCTAACTGTTGATCAATTTTTTTATGCTTTTTCATTAAAAACCTCACACAAAAATGAAACATGAGGTTTGTAATTTCTCTGGGAATCTCTGCTGCCACTTTGTATAAAGCAGATGTAAATTTCAGTGTTGCATCATCTGTTCTGCTCTGTGACATTAACTAGATTATGCCTCCCACTACACAGAAAACCACTTCCGTCAACATTATGCCAATTTGTTAATAGTCAGCTTGAATTCTTTTTTAAAATTCATATTTACAGCTAACCACAAGACACAGCTGAATGGTGTTTCCCTCTAACTAAAAGCCCATAACAATTATGTGGATCATATCATCTCTTGGGCTGTGAAAAACTAACCTTGCTAATTCATTTGCATGTAATCTGATTTTATACAACTTTACTGACAGAATAATGTGCGTTCTTCAAACACAAGGACTGGTTGCTGGGTTCAAAATGAAAATACTAGTATTTGTTTTCAGTTGTCATGGGTTTAACTCTGTGAGCAAATGTGCATCTGATAAAAGGCAAGAATTTCAGAAATAACTAGTCTCAGTAAATTGCGTTAATCAATACATTCTGATTTGTTAACATTTCAACAGTTTCACGGCACCAGTACATCAGATTCCTCCATTCGTAAACCTAGACTTCAAGATCTGTTTCAGTAGCTTTTCTTTCATGAATGTATTGCTAATTAATTATTGACAGATGTGACATTAATTCTGCATTTCCAAATTTGAAGATTTATTAAGTGACGCAGCTGAGATAGACCTGTAACAGTCAAATATCACCAATCACCCAGAGAACATTAAACATTTTATCCTGACACTCCATTTCTTCAGTAACACTGAGCAAATTGCCCTGAGTTGAAAGCAATTTTTCCTCTGGGGTCTCAGTTTTCCTGGAGTTGCACTGAAGAGAAAAGAATTGGATTGCTTTGTTGACAAGGTCCATGTTGCTCAGTACAGAAGAACAAGGCAGACCACTTTGCTTATGAATGGGATTACTGAGCATCATACCAGACTAAGCGTACATCTACACACCAACTTTATTTCAAAATAACTTAGTCCGCATCTACACAACAGGCAGTTATTTTGAAATAATGTTGAAATACTGTCAAGGACTTCTTACTCCAAACTCCTGTAACCTTCATTGTACGAGGAGTTAGGGAAGTCGGAGGAAGAGAGCTCTGTTTCGAATAACTGCTGTGCAGATGCTCCCAATTTAAAAATAAACTATTTCAAAATAAGCTACGCATTTGACATAGCTCAAGTTGCGTAGCTTATTTTCAAGTTAAGCCCTGCTGTGTAGACGCATCCTAAGACTCACTTTAGCTCCACAGAACATTGCATGGAAAATAAACCACCATCTGTGAGCAAATCATACTCCTGCAAAATCCAAACGGTTTCTAGAAGGGACTTCTTTCTAAGAAACAGGACTATGTAGCACTTTAAAGACTAACAAGATGGTTTATTGGGAGATGAGCTTTCGTGGGCCAGACCCACTTCCTCAGAACAAATCTGAGGAAGTGGGTCTGGCCCACGAAAGCTCATCACCTAATAAACCATCTTGTTAGTCTTTAAAGTGCTACATAGTCCTGCTTTTTGTTTCAGCTGCACCAGGCTAACACGGCTACATTTCTATCACTATTCTTTCTAAGAAGCCTTCTGAGGCTTCCAAAAGGGAGGAGCAAAGAAGCCCTCATTACTCCTGATAGCAGCTCAATCTTGAGATGTCTTACAGGAGCAAGAGGCTTGCTTTGGGCAAGACTGGAATGTACATATATACCTTTCGGAGTACATTAGTAACACCTGGCAGAAGACATTAATTAACGGCACCTGCTCTAGGGTACTGCTTAAGATGCTACATTTTGCTAGACCACTGCTTTTTTGCTTCTGAATTGTCACAAAAGGATGATGGTTTCAGAAGCATAGGAATGCAGAATGGGAGCTAGAAAGAGGGGAAGGGTACGGCTCTTGATGGGTTTAGTCAACTAAAGAGTTGCATAAAGAGAAGCAGAATTTGGTCCAAATTCACAAGGTTAACACAGAAGAATGTAAGAATTCAGGACAATTATCATCATGCTTTGTTAATTCATTCTGTTGACCTTAAACTTTCTAGAGGGGGTAGCTTATAGCAACATAAGCTTCAGGTATAAAATATTTCCTGGACTCCCTTGACTCAGAGGCTCAAATTGTGACAGGATCCACTATATCCTCTATCCTTTCACGGCACTGACAAAAAGTTGGGGGCTAACTACCCCATTGTACCTTGGAAGGCGACACCCTATCTGCGTAACATATGCTCACTAATTGCAACTATCTGAGAATTCTAGTAGTAGTCAAAAATCTTATCCTTCCTTCCCCTCCCTGGCCCTAAAGGTCCGTGCCAAATACTGCACGGGAGGCATTGAAAACGTAGCCTGTGAGGTTCCGAACAATGTTCTCAAGATTTCATCCCGTTTACATTACAAATGCATGCATAGCTCATTTGCTCTTCTTCAGTACCTGATCCCAGTGTTGTCAGATTTTGACTCCATTTGCATCCTTCTTGATCTGGAACAATTATTTTTTTTAATAAGTAGAGCTGCTCTGGACTCATGAGGATGAAAATCAGATCCGTCTGCCCCACAGCCTTCAGTAGAAATTGAGAGCAACTCAGCATCGTTCAGATGAGGCCTTTGCAATGGCTGAAAGTTTCGAGAGCAAGAAAACAAAAGGGAAACAAAGAAAAAGGGGAAGATTATAATTTTTGACCATCTAATATTAAAGCTAATGTAGCTTTATGACACAGACATGCTGCTTATGCTATAACTAAATAATAGATTATAAAACAGCTCAGAGAGGTAGCTGTGTTGTCTGTAACTTTAAAAACGAGTAGTCCTGAGGCACCTTGGAGACTAACATACATGTATAGTATATAATATATATATATATAGTATATATATAGTATCATGGGGAAAACCAAGTGGTTTTACCCATGAAAGCTCATAACCCTATATATTTTTGTTAGTCTATAAGGTGCCACAGGACTACTTCTTGGGACCATAAAACATTTATTTTAAGGTGCTGTAGCCAGTAAGTCTAATTAAAGTAGCATTTTTATTGGCTCAAGGAGCACTTGTTTCAAGTTTAAAATATACTGAGCCAGACATTGATGGTACTGTGCCAATCTATGAGGATGCCCAGCGATGAGGACTGTCTGTATTGCTAAATTGCAGGCATCCAGGATGTAGCTTTGTATAGTCCATGTCTCTATGGGCACGTCTACACAGCAGGGCTAAAGGTGAACTAAGCTACGCAACTTGAGCTACGTCAGTTCTGTAGCTGATGCTGAAATAGCTTGGTTTGGTTTTTGGTGCTGTCTACATAGCAGGAAGTTGAAAGAAGAACACTCTTAGAACATAAGACTGCCCATACTGGGTCAGACCAAAGGTCCATCTTGCCTAGTATTCGGTCTGCCGACAATGGCTCTTCCTCGGACTTCCCTTACTCCTCGTAAAATGAGGGTTACAGGAGTTGGAGTAAGAAATCCTCCAGCTCGACATTATTTCCACATTATGTCGAAATAATGCCTGGCTGTGTAGGCATGGACTATGTTATTTCAGAATAATGTCAGTTATTCAGAAATAACGCTGCCATGTAGACATAGCCTAATAGAGTATGTGCACATCATGATTGACAGTTTAAAGAACACATTAAATTGTTAAATGAATATATTCCTCTCAATTGCACTGTAAAAAACACTGTGGAGCTTGTAGACACAAATTTCCTAAAACGGCTTTCACATGTAAGCTTCACTGCGGGTGCTGCTGAACAGCTTTTTCTGCTGAGATGATTGTTCTACCCACTACGCCCATAATAAAAATTAAAACAAAATTCTTATGAAAGTGTTGTTGAATGTTGACCTTAGATACAATATTGGCATCTTTGCTCTAAACAAACTACAGCCATGAAATACTATAAGAACAGTACCAGATACATCCGTTGCTGAGCTAATGTCCTATAGATGGAAACAACTCCGATTGCTGGCGAGAGATACAATGCAAAGTGCGACATTGTCCCCTAGTGGGCTCTCGGAGGAAACACAAAAACATCACAGCACCATCTTTCTGGAAACACAGCGAGCTCGATGAAACCATGTAAAACAATCTGCTTGATTTCTGTTCAAGATTTTACAATACTCATATGCCGTAAACTGGATTATGATTCAGGGCTAAATTCAGAGGTGAGCCAACATGAACCTAAAGAAGTCTGAGTTGGTATAATTTACATGTTATTCCAACTTGCCCTACATGTAAGTTGCACTTGCACCCACTTACTACGGTGCAACGGGAACTCACCATGTGATATTTAAGTGACACTACACACTATCTGCTCAATTTAGCACAGGAGAGCATAAACAGGTACAACTTAAGGTGCGTCTACACTGCACCGTTATTCCGGAATAATGGCTGTTATTCTGGAAAAACGATACTAGCGTCCACACAGCAATTGCATTATTTCAAAAGAAAATTGAATTAACGGAGGGTTTTTTCCAACGTTGGTAAACCTCATTCCATGAGGAATAACGTCTCTTCCAAATAAGCTCTTTTGGAAGAGGGTGTGTGTGGATGCTCCACTGCTGCTATGTTGAAATAGCTCCTCCCCAGGGACATTCTAAGCTATTCTTCCCCTGGGGCTCTGATGTGGATGAGATAGTGCATCCACATTAGGGGAGCCTGCCTCGGACTAATTTTTAGTCTTCCCTGTAGCGTGGACACTCTATTTTGAAATAAGCTATTCCGGAAATTATCTTCTGGAATAGCTTTCTCCAAAATAAGCTTGCAGTGTAGACATACCCTTACTGTGCACTTTGGAATCCTAACCATGCATCAGACCATGGGGTAAGATGATATTAAGTAAAGTTACCTACGTTATTAATATATATGAGGAGTGTAACTTTTAGGAAGAAGGTTCAAATTCTAGCAACTTACTCTTCCCCCTCCAATTGATTTGCTGTCATTCACCATTCAGTTTTGTACTTTCATAATTATTGACGTTTCAGTTTGTGTATTTTATCCCAGGAAAATAGATACTGTGGCAAAATTCTGTTTGCCTGTTAATGTGAGCCTCAATCCAACCACGCCTATTCACATGAGGCTTTCCCCGTGAAATCAACAGGACTCCTCAGATGAAGAAGGGCTGTAGGCACTACGGTTGTATGTTTTTGTGACTCTATAATATCAACAGCTTGGACGAATTATAAAAAATAGAGATGTGTCAATTTTGGACCCACTGGTGCAAAGAATGGAGGATGGGCGAGTTTATCCTGGGAAGCATTGACTCTGAAAAAGCTATGGAGGGCTAAACATGAGCTCCCAATGTTCTTCAGTGGCTGAAAGAGCTAATGTGATCCCATGGTGGAGAAACAGGGGAACCTCAGTTAGGTTATTTTACATCTGTTTGGCACTGGTGCAAAGATGTGGAGCTGCTGGAAAATTGTGTCTAGTTTTGGGGTCCATATTTCAAGAAGGATGCTGACAAATTGGAGACGGTTCAGTCAAGAGCCACAAAAATGCTTAAATTAGAAAATCTGTCTTGAAGTGACAGACTCGAAGAGCTAAATCTATTTAGCGGCGCAAAGAAAAGGTTAAGAGAGGACTTGATTACAGTGTGTAAGATAGAAGTCTCTAATATTTAATCATGAGTTTTTCAATCTAGAAGAGACAGGAATAATGTGATCCAGAGAGTAGAAGCTGATGCTAGACAAATTCTGATTGCAAATGTAAATTTTTTTTTACAGGGGAGGTAATTGACCAGTGGAATAATGTATTAAGTCTTGTGGTGAATTCTCCAACATAGGACATTTTTAGATCAAGATCAGATGTTTTTTTTCCAAAGCATCTGCTGTAGGAATCATTTTGGGGAAGTATTCTGGCCTGTGTTATTGAAGATGTCAGATTAGACTATCACAGTTGTCCCTTCTGGCCTTGGAATCAATGAAATAGTACTGTGGAAGAACTTAGAATCCTTCCACGTTAGCAGTAGTGAAGGTGGATTCAGGAGATGCCTAGATGTAAAGCTAACATCCTGTTTCAGAAAAATCACAGTCATTCCAGGTTTAACCCTCTCTACTTCCAATTCTCTCCCCTCTAAAGTCTTCTTGCTCCACTTAACAACCACTGAGATTTTTTTTAAAAACCACCTGTTTCTACTGCATAGCTGTGATCTTCAGATGGAAATACATTTCTTTTCTGGTATAGGTTGAACCTTTCTAGTCCGGCACTCTCTGGTCCAGCAACATCTGTGGGCTGGCATGATTTTAGTTAGCTGGATGTCCTTTTATCATGGGTGTGGCCAAGTTTCCCGCAATCCCATAAAGTTTAACAGCCACCAGTCCTAGCTCTCAGTGTTCTGTGCTGTTATTTAGCTCTAATTTACCCCCAAATGTCTTCTAAGAGCCCCATAAGCAGTGTAAATGTTCGCAATGCTGCTAGAAGATATTGACGATATTTGTTTGGCAAATTCTCTGATTTGGCATTGGTCAAGTCCCAAGGGTGCCAGACTAGACCTGTATCACTTTCCTGATCACAGAATCAATCCAGAACTCTACTTCTTTAGTCAGTTTTCTAGGTTTTTCCATGCAATTACACCTGTTAGGGCAGAATCGGGTTCCATGAATCCAAAACCATTACCTACCTGGATTTTACAGAAAATACACTAATCCATCCACCTCTGTCAAGGTGTTCATAATACAAAGTTACAGGCGACTGTGCAGAACAGAGTTCTATTCAATGTTACCTTTCCTCCTGTGCTATGCCACACACACTAAAAATAAATGAAAAGAAAATAGATATTAACTAAAGGGTAAGCAATAAATATCCTGTTATAAAACACATTTCTCAAATTATTCATTGACATGAGTTAATATTCTCTAGCCAAAGATTATTTTTTAATAAATAATTTTAAACAGAACATGCACAAAGGAAATCAATTTAGCACTCAAGATAAGGAACACTTTTGATCAATTTCCCCACCATGCAGTCAGTACATTTATAAAACTCTTCAAGGAAAATCATAGCATTTATCAATCAATTTCAAAACCATATTTGCGAGCAAGATCAGATTTATTACATAAATGTTTCCCCTCCTCCTTAAAAATAAACTTTTCTAAAAGGTCATTTCTGGAGCTCAAATGACTTACACATTATTCTTATGGCCTTGCTTGCTGCTAAGCTAGAAAGTTATAAAAGCAAAGTCAATTTCTGACTTGAAGTGGGGATAAAGGAATGTGATCCACCGCATTGAACAGGAGAACCCAAATCTATTTCAGCTGGTCACTGACCTGCCATGTGACCTTGAATGTATAACTTTAACTCTGTGCCTCTGTCTCCCCCTTCTTGTCTATTTAGATAGTGAGATCTCTTGTTCATAGACTCACAGAGTTGGAAGAGACCTCAGTAGCTCCTCTAGTCCAACTTGATGCTCAAAGCAGTGTCAACCCCAACTTAATCATTCCAGCCTGGGCTTTGTCAAGACTTGCTTAAAAATCTGCGAGGATGGAGATTCTACCCACCTCCTTAGGGAACCCATTCCAGTTCTCCCCTCCCACCCCAAATAATTTTCCTAATATCCAACCTAGACGTCCCCCACTGCAACTTGAGACCATTGCTCCTTGTGCTGCCATTTACCACCACCGAGAACAGCCTCTCTCCAACCTCTTTGGAACCCCTGTCAGGTAATTGAAGACTGCTCTCAAATCCCCCCTCACTCTTCTCTTCTGCAGAATAAATAAGCCCAGTTCTCTCAGCCTCTGCTCGTAAGTCATGCACCCCAGCCTCCTAATCATTTTTGTTTTGCCTCAGCTGGGCTCTTTCCAATTTGCCCATAACTTTCTGTAGTCTGGGCCCCAAACTAGACACAATACTACTCACCAGTGCTGAATAGAAGGGAATAATCACTTCCCTCAATCTGCTGCCAATGTTCCTGCTAATGATGGGTGGCCAGTACGCTAGGCAGGGGAAGGTGTTGCCTTCCCAAACCACCAGGCTGGCTCCACCCACACTCCACCCCCAGAAGGCCTACTGTAGTGTTCCAGGGCCTCTTCGTGTTCCAGGGCCTCCCCCAGCCCTACCTCCACCGAAGACCCATGCTACTAACTCATTGTTGATTCATATCTAGTTTCTCATTCACTGTAATCCCCAGGTCCTTTTCTGCAGGTCCTTGTTATATGTGTTTATGGAGTGCCTAGCACAATGGGGCTGCCAGGAACTATTGGAATGCAAACCATAGACCCCAAACCTCAATACGGGCCTTCAGGCTTTACTGAACTTCAAACAATGTCAGCAAGATCTTGAACTTGATAAACTTCTTTGACAACTGCTACAGAGAAAAGGGAAAGTTACTTCTCGGGTGTGTGGAAACCAGACGAGCAGAAATTCTTGTGTAGTTTGGCCATTGTCTTGTGTGAGAGGTGGGATCGCCAACAGTTCATGACTGTCAGCCTCAGGAACGGAGAAAACAAACGCTCCCTTTGGGCAGCCGCTGAATTCCGACAATTTATAAGAAGAGGATAAAATTGTCGAGACGGGCTTTCTGAGGATCTCTCATGAGCTCTTGTTTCTTCCAATAAATGTATTTTTCAGATACAATTATTCAGTGGCTGAGTTCAAGCCAGTGCATAGCAGTATGAAGGTTAGGTAATTGACCATATTCATCTTTGTATGTCTTTTACAGCTTGCTGGGATCATAAACATCGGGTAAAATATTACGCCAGAACACCAATGTTTGACAAAGCACTGGAGAGGTGGCTTATTTTTAAAACTAATTAGAAAGGATGATATGGCAGAGGAGGGTGTTTGGGGCTTCCAGAATCCCCTTGTTAAAAAAGTCCCATCACAAAATTTAAGGGTTATTAGGATGATTTCTCTGCTTCCCCTAGATTTTGCCACTTCTCTGAATACTACTTAATCATCCTAGAGGGCTCTGACATATCCCTGGGGTTCATTAAAACATTTTAGAGAAGACAATTTACCTTGGGCTTAACCAGGATGGGCTGAGTGTCCAGTGATACGTTAGAAAAATTACTGTCTCAGCAGAAAATATTTCGTTTCAAGATTTTTAAAATCTTTTTTAATCAACTTTTTAAAAAATAAAATTGAAGGAAATTCAGAAACAAAACATCTTTTCAGACTGAAACATCTCATATTTACTGTCCTCTTGCTCCACAAATCTGAAGAAGTGGGTTGTGCCCACAACAGCTCAAGATGCTATCTGTATTTTTGTTAGTTTGTAATATGCTACAGGGCAACTCTTAAGGGTTATTTTTAAATCTGAAGTGTTTTGTTTCAGACACGCTGAAACAAACAATTTTTATATTTATAGAGTTTCTCCCCTGCCTCTCCCCAGCAACCAAACTATTTGCCAAAAATCAGCCCGAATGAGGAAAATGTTTTGTTGACCTGATTCTTCATTTTTCAGTGGGTGTGTGGGAAGCATTCCACAAATACTTTTGCCCATTATACTACACAGCTGCCCCCAGAGAAGAAGCATTCTAAGTCTGCAAGCATGTGGTCATAAGGCGGCAACAGAATGTCTCAAGGCACGTGTCATTCCTTGAGTTGCCTACACAGTCGACAGGTCCAAGTATCACCTATAAACTGCTGAGGGTGACTGTCTGCATTAGAGATTGCCTCCATTCTTCCTGAATGAATACAACCAGACCTGAAATTATTTGTAGCACTGCTCTGTGATCACTTGACTCGGACTAATTACATTGTGGTCCTAGACACAAACTCGATGGGTGATTTGGGACAGGGGGCCGGCACAAAGGTTTGTGAAGAGATGCGCAATGGAGGCTGTTACAGGTTCACACGGTAAGCGTGAGTATCAGTGGTATTCACATGGCCATAAAAAAAGTTTGTACCTGCAAATATTGGTATTGATTGCACACCTACTACTTGTTATCCCAATCCCGTCAGCTCTCACAGACCTTAAGGAATGTGATCCATTCTGTTTCAGCCCAAAGTAGTGATTCTCTGAAGCTTTTACTTGTCTATAGCTGTCCATTATACAGTTCTCATCTCATCATCATAGTATTGGAGCAAATTCTCAAGATACAGGAAGTGATAGCTGTTGGTAAATGCATCGCAATTAGTTTCTTTCTTTAGAAAACCCTATTCTAGATCACAGCTCTGCTGGCAATTTTAAGGAAATCTAATATAACAAATGTGACCAGCTGTCAATATTTTTAGCGCTGTTCCTTCTAACCCAAAGGGAAAATGTAGCATTTCTACACTAGTGCCCCTGCCATTTTTATCAAGAAGCATCACTAGTGCTACTAACCTATTAGAAGATTTCCTGAAAAATCTCACCTGTTTATTAGGCTTAGTAGCAGAAAAACAACCATAGCATCCAATTCTGGTGTCTGTATAGACTTTTTAAGTCTGATTTCGCTGGATTTCAGACTCATAACAAATGGTGGATCTAAATTAAGTGTGGACCAAATTCTGCACTGATTTGCAACTCAGATATTTCCACTGTTTTAAATGGGGCTATGAGAGAAGTAGAAATATGACCAAATTCTCTACTGTCCTAATACAAAGGCCAGGTCTACACTACAGCCAAAGATTGGTTTAAAGTATACAATTCCAGCTACATTAAAAAAAATGTTGCTGGAGTCAATGTACCTTAAGCCATGCTTCGGTGCTGTACTCCCAGCAGGAGGTCAATGAGAGAAGCGCTCCTGTTGACTTTCCTTTCTCCTTGCGAAGAGTAGGAGTTCCAGCATTGCTGGAGGTGTCCTCAACATTCCACTTAGCGAGTCTTTATTAGACCCATTCAGTTGAACACTGAAAGACCCACCATTGCAGCATGATCTTCTCTGTAGTCTAGACATGGCCGAAGACTATGTAATTAGCTAACTGGAACAAAAGGCTTGTTGTGTTTCACATTATTGCAGCTGTTTCTCTTCCTCTAGCAAGAGTGAGAAATGCAGACAAATCCTCTTACTGTTTGAATCAATCAGCTAAGCAACATACATCACATATTAACAAAATCTTAACTAAAGCTCCAAATGATAGAAATTTAGATTTAATGCTGAAACTCCATCACTGATTTATCACATTGTATACTTAGTATAGTGGTGTCATTCAATTCATTAGATCAATAGAGACACCTAATCTTGTGGGGTCTCTGGTGGTGGCCAGTTTGAGATTCCTCAGAGAAAGGGGGGGAAAACACTCTAGAAATGTACTAATCATGGCCAAATACATGTTGGCTTAGTGCAGTCAAAAAAAGCCATCCAGTTCTCTGTGAATAACCAGTTCATATCTGGAAGGTGCTTATTTTAAAGGTGAACGGGTGCATTTTGATATCTTCTTTCTGCACCCCACAAAGCACTACAGCCAAAAAAAAAAAAAAAAAAAAAGTTAGGGGTCACTCAAGAAGGATGAACTTCTAGGTAAAATAAAACTGTAGGTTGGCTCTGGTTCAGGTTCTATTATCTCTGAGCCACTGAAGCAGAAGGGAGTTGAGATAAAAAGTTCCAGTTTTGGCACATCGAAAAAATAAATATTAAACTGGTTCTGGTTGGCTGAAGTAGTAGTACCTTCTCCTCCCCATTTGTTTAACATTGCCATGTCTGTTCCTCTTCCTCTGACAGGAGTCAGTAGACCAGAACCAAATTTAAATGCCAGCTAGCTATATCTGCTAAATCTACATTACTCATTGAAGAGGCTACAGAAAGTGGAGTCAAGGTTCTCAGTGAGGGTGCGTCTAGACTACAGGGTTTTTTCGTAAAAACAGACTTTTTCCAAAAAAACTTCAACTATGTCCACACTGCAATCGCGTTCTTTCAAAAGAAAATCGAAAGAATGCAGGGGTTTTTCCAACATTGGTAAACCTCATTTTACGAGGAAGAACGCCTTTTCCGAAAGAGCTCTTTTGGAAAAAAAGTGTGTGTGGATGCAGAAGACTGAGTTTTTTTGAAAGAAGAGGCCTCCAGGAAAAAAACCACAGATGCCCTGGTGGCCATTCTGTCCATAGGAATCACAGCTTACATGCAAGAGAGCATCCAATGACTGTCGACACTCTCTTTCAAAAAAGGAGATCGCTTTTCCGATGCACTTTTGAAGCATGAATGCTCTCTTTCAGAAGAAGTTTTTTTTGGAAGATCTCTTCCAAAAAAGCTTATTTCAAAAGAAGCTTGCAGTCTAGACGTACCTGGAGAGAGAGAGCCAGAGATGGATGTTACCTGTTTACTTGGAAGTGATGGGGCCGTGTTGCTGGCTTATGGACGTAAAACTCACTGAAGGCTTGACCCAAAGCACATCAAAATCAATGCGACCCTGTCCATCTTCAAAGGTTTTAAATTTCTCAGACAATGCATGTCCGATGAGCAGAGTCTAACACTTAAAAGTAAGAGTGCTGTAGGCACTGGTCCTGCAAGATGCTTGAAGAAAAGTGCTTATGAACATGCTTAACTCTCACAAAAATACTACCCAAAGGCAATGGACCTTATTCTCAAAAGAACAATGTTTTCTCTGCTGCAGAATGTACCATTTTAAGGACAAGAGATTTGGAGGTAACCTAGAGGGATAGGCTTTTATCCAGTTGGTTTCAAATTCCCTGCAAATCCTCCCAGATTTTTTTTGTTTGGGTCGGAGGGGAGAACCATTCAAGTTAGGGGCTGCTGCCCTCCATGTGCATTTCATGAGGCAGGGAATAGAGACTGGGGGCATGAGGAACAGCTCCTGGATGGCTCTTGGGCTTGAACTTAGAAGGGCCCCAAGCTAAGGGTAAGCCCTGCCTTCTTTTTCTCTGCATCGAATGCTGCAGGGAAAATTCTCTTTGTACAATCCCAGCATGTCTCAAGTTTAACCCACATAGGGAACAAGATGTTTTATAGTAATCAACACAATAAAGCTACCCCTCAATTGCATTTTTTTCCCACCACACTTCACCACAAGACTTTAACGACCCAAGAGCTGCTAACTTTGAATCTACCTAAGACGGGCCAAACTTTTGGCTAATGTCAAGGCTGAAAATCTTCACTCTCAAGTTAATGGGACTCTACCACTTACCCCAGCTGAGAATTTGACACAATGACCATCTGTTCCTGCATACACTGCAAATTTCTGCTCAATCACCACCTTGAAACATGAGATGACTACTGCCATCAGGCCCTTGTTGTGGGGTTTGGTTTAGTTTGTGAATGTCTAATCTAATATAAGCCATAACATAATGGTTCCTTCCTAGTACTAACAGATGACATTATGAGATATTACATTAGAGTTTATAATGTCACTAGAATCATTTTGCATTAAGTGTTAT